CTGCAACACCAAGGGATGCAACACAAGTGTTGGCTTCTCTGAGATTTAGCAGGGTCAAATTGTGCACCACTGATGTAGGATTCCCACAACACTCCACAGTGTACTCAGTTACCTCATGAAGTCCTGACAACTAAGAAAAAAAAAGACCCTGGAATTTTCTACTATAACCAAGGCACTAAATCTCTGCAGGGTAGAGTTCCTGGGACTGAAATTTGAAACAGTCATAAACTGGTGGGGAAATGAGAATAAAAGTATTCTTCTGATTGTTAGCTGAAGAGAAAGATACAGAACCCTGGGTGTGACTTTCTTTTCTTTCTTTCTTTTTTGATTTTTCGAGACAGGGTTTCTCCATAGCTTTTTGGTTCCCGTCCTGGAACTAGCTCTTGTAGACCAGGCTGGCCTCGAACTCACAGAGATCTGCCTGCCTCTGCCTCCTGAGTGCTGTGATTAAAGGTGTGCGCCACCACCGCCTGGCTCGACATAACATTTCTTATTCAAGATGTATTATTTATTTTCATTTTAAGTGCATTGGTGTTTTGCCTGCATGTATGTTTGTGTGAGGGTGTCAGATCTTGGAGTTATAGACAGTTGTCAGCTGCTATATGCTCTTAACCACTGAGTCATCTCTCCAGACCCCAAAAATCTTTTTTATTCTTCAAGACATGATTTGTCTGTGTAGCCCTGTTTCAGGCTGTTCTGAAACTCTCTCTGTAGGCCAAGCTGTCCTCAAACTCACAGAGGTACAACTGCCTCGGCTTCCCGAGTGCTGGGATTAAAGGAGTGCACTACCATGTCCAGCTTGAGATTTTTAAATATATATAAATTATGCTTGAATCACTTTGAAAAATAATCTCCAATGCTTCTTCCCAAGATCCTTCTTTTTTTTTTTCTAAATCTTGAGGACACTGTTTCCAACACCAGTAGAAGCAGCCAGTAAGTGCTACTTGCAGAAGACCCCCTTCTCCTTTTGCTGCAGCTCCTGGCATGCATGGCCTGGCAGCTACAAGTGTCCCCATGCCTCACCTACTTTTCTCAATGACTTCAGGGGTCTGGGCATTTGGGCATCCTAAACATCTTACACAAAGACAGACAGCAGATTTGTACTATTCACCTTGTCCTCGCTAGCTTTAACTGTCAACCTGACAGTCATCCGAGCAGGAGTCTCACCTGAGGAACTAGCTTATGGGAATGTCTGTAGGTATTACCATATCTATTACTTAAGTGGGAGGGTCCAGCCTACTGTGGGAGGTACCATTTCCTGGGCAGGTGGTCCTGGGCTTTTTTGGAAGCTGGTTGAGTGTAAGTCTGTCTGCAAGCCAGCGAACAGCATTCCCCTAGGTTTCCTGCTTCAAGTGCCTGCTTGAGTTCCTGTCCTGACTTTCTTCTGTGATGAACTGTGACACACAAATACAATTCAGGTAACTTAAGTGTGGTGGTGTATGCTTGGTATCTCATTGCTAGAGAGGTGGTAGAAATAGGTGACTCTCTAGGGCAGCTGGAGCACTCGGCCAGTGAGCAGCCAATCTCAGAGAAAGCAGATAGTAAGTATTTCAGAGGATGACACCCCAGGTTATTCTCTGGCCTCCAGACATGGATATACGCATACACACATGCACCTCTCCTCCAGTTAACAGAGTAAGGACTGAATAGCAAAGCACGTGCTCTATGGGGATGGAGGTAAGACATCCATATGGGCCAAAGCACAGGAGTCACAGCTTGCACTGAGTGACACCAACCATCTCAAAAACTGCTTGATTCTCAGAGAACTCAGTGAATTCATAAAGGGCAATTCTGGGCCTGGAGAGATGGCCCAGTCATTAAGAGCACTTGGTGTTGAGGAAGGGGCTATCTTCAAAATGAAAAAACTATGCATGTGGAACAGTGGGGGGCGGGTTACGGGAAGGTGGACGGTAACTGGACACTACCCACAACAGGATACTACAATGGCACCCTTTGTCTTTTGCTCCCCGATACAAATAGGATGCCATGTGAAGGGTCTCTGAGATTTACCACCTAGAGATGTGCTGCCACTGCCTGTATCACAACACCTGCTCAAGGAAAAGAACAATCACACCAAAAGCCCATCTCCTCCTACTCTTCGTGTGCAGAGTAGAAGACCGAGATAAATTACTCAGACAAGCTGGTCCCAAGTGGGACTCCCTAAGCACAGAGAAAACGGGCACCCACTTCTGAAGTCCCCAGAGTCTACAGCACGAAACCAGGGCAGGAGCTGCAGAAGGGGCTATTCATGGAGATAAACGCTTACTGCCCAATAGCCAGGCAGAGTATAGGTGGGACAATCAGTCAGGAAGTAGAGGCGGGTCAATGAGAACAGGAGAATTCTGGAAGGAACTCCTGGTTGGCAGTGTGACCCCAGCCACAGAAGAAGCAACATGTGACTGCCCCACTAAATAAGGTACTGAGCCATGTGGCTAACACTGATAAGAATAATGGGTTAATATAAGTTATAAGAGTTAATAAAAAGCCTGAGCTAATGGGCCAACCAGTTTATGATTAATGTAGACCTCTGTGTGATTTCTTTTGGACTTAATGATTGTGGGAACCGGGCAGGACAGAAAACTCAGTCAACAGTGTGAAACTGTAAGATCTGAACGTCACGTGAGCTAACAGTGCTGGTGATGAAAAGCATCACGAGTCTCCTTTTTCCCCTGGACAAGTTCTCTTCATGAGACCCTGAGGGCACAAGAATCTGGGTCACATCATCTTTAGTTTTGAACTGCAAATCTCAGCAGTCTCAATATCTCTGTTCACCAATTTTTCTCATGGTGTTGTCATAAAGCCATGACTAGGCATCTCTGATCTCAGAGTGCTTGCTTCTTCCCACTATTTACCAATGCAGACTGTAAGATAATTGTGTTAGTTAGGTTTCTATTGCTCTGAAGAGACACCATGACCACGGCAACTCTTATAAAGGAAAACATTTAAGGGGTGAATTACATTTCCAGAGCTTTAATCCATTATCATCATGGTGTATGTGACATGGTGGCATGCAGGCAGGCATGGTGCTTGAGAAGTAGCTGAGAGTCCAACATCTTGACCCACAGGCAACAGGAAGAGGTCTGAGACATTGGGCATGGCTTAAGATATGAGAGACCTCAAAGCCCACCTCTACAGTGGTACACTTCCTTTAACAAGGCCACACCTACACAGACAAAGCCATACCTCTAAATAGAGCCACTCTCAATGAGCTTATGGAGGACAATTACATTCACACTACCCCAAAAATTAAAATTTAAAAACAAGAACTATTTATAGTTACCACATGTAAGGCAGAATCTAAGCCATTTGGGTATCAGATCAGAAACAAATATTCTAACACCAAGGCAGGAAAATTTTTATACAGTAACTAGTGGATGATACGAGCTCAGGGAATCTAACTCTGCAATTGGAGAGACAGCACAGCATAGACATTCACAGCCATCCCAGTTACAACACCATAAATAACTCAAACATTTCAAATTAGATTTAATTTCTCATAGGTAATGACTAAAGCGGTAAATTTATAGAAAACAATAAACTTAAAAACATAGTACATTTTAAAAAGACTAATTTCGGTCACCCATTGTTTTTCTATTACCATAATGCACACTTGGTAAGCAGAGGTGTTGATAGACATTCAAGAAGCTGATAGAGACAGAGGTAGATAATACACAAATAAATAAAAAGATAAGAGCTTCCACAGCAAGGAGGTAAAAAAATTGTTAAGAATAAATAGTAATGGAATGGCAATTACAATGTTTTGAACTGTAACCAGGTATTTGATAGAGAACAAAATTCAGGATTCTACAGCTAGAGGCAGATCTCAAGAAATTGGCAAATGTTGTTAAAAGGTTTAAAAAAAGAATTTTTGAAGAAAAATAGAACTTTAGAGTAGGAGACACATGAAGGAATTTATAATGGCCAGTCATATTTTTAAGTCCATGGAAGACAGAACATTCAGAAAATAATTAACAGAGCAACACAAAAATTGAAGTTTGCCAGCAACAGAAAGAGACTACGTCACTCCTGAAGGGACTATCTATGGTATAGGGTAGTTTCTATCCTGGAGGAGCTGATAGAGGAAGTAATTCCTTACAAGTGCAGTTCTGAAACAGCAAAGTGAGATACCTAAGAACAAGTACAATTTGCTTAAAAATATTCTGTAATCTGAAAACAGACTGAGTAAGTGTGTGGGCAGCACAGAGGAGTGCAGTGCACCGCTGCCAAGTGGGGTGCACACAACATGACTCTTATACCCCAGGTCCCAGAGAACCTAGACAAGCAGCAGCTGCTGCCACGGCAATGACTCTTGACCACAGCCAACTTAGACAGCAACTAGTTACACAGAAGGGCCTAGCTTGTCTGTCTCCCTATTCAGATGATAGAAGGCCCCTCTAGTATCAAGGGCCAGAACTAGCCCAAGATTAAAATCTTTTCTACTTTGTCCAGTGAACCCTAAAGAGGCAAGATTTTTTTCCCCCAAAAAAATCTAGCAAAGTCACTATGCTTTTAAGTAATCTTGAATTTCACAATCAGAACATTCCCAGTGACTCTGTTGAGAAAACATTTCTTCACAGGAAGGTACCAGCACTTATCACTGCCCTTCATGTACACATGACAGTCTAGAACCTCCATAGATCTTTCACGGTAACTCTACTGTATAATGATCAATTATTTAGTAAGCTTGCCAAAATTCTACGTGCTTCTGGGTAAAGAACAACTGTGTACAATCTGCTGCCACCTGAGTAAAGTGACAGATGTGACCATAACAACAGGCCATGCTGTTGTTCAAGAGGAGAAAAGAAGGTGAAGAGGAAGCCTGAGTGTGCAACTCAAGAAAGAAGCAGCTACAGATGCTCAGATAAGCAGGGAGCTTAGTGGAGTGCCCTTGTCAATAAACTCCACTAAAGACATCATCGTACAGGAAAGAACTCTATAGGCACCAGTCCAGAAGGCAGATGCTCAGAGGTCCCACCTGTGGGGAAAGGTGTACTTTGTACCTTTCAGCCCTGAACGGATGACAGTAGGGGATAAGTCATCATAGTTGTTCATTAAGCTGATGTCTCCCGAGGTGAAGCTGACGGTGAGCAGAGGCTTGATGTTCTGCACAGGGATGGGGTATGCTGCAGGACCATCTGTAGAAACACAAGGCCAAGTGAAAGGCAGAGACTATGGGCACAAAACCTGGTTCAGATGTCTAAAGCTACACTGTTGCACAGTGCCTGACTTGGTGACTTTGTGCTGTCATGACTAAGGCAACTTGTAAAAGAAAACATTAAATTTGGGGCTCATGGCTGCAGGGTGATAGAAGTCACAGGCAGGCAGGCAGGCATGGTGCTGGAATAGTAACTGACTGAGAGCTTGCATCCTTATGCATGAGGGAAGAGACAAAGAGAGCTAACTGAGAATGGAATGGCTTTTGGGGGCCTCAGATTCCATACTCAGTGACATACCTCCCCCAAGGCCATACCTCTTAATTCTTCCCAAACAATTCCATCAACTGGGGACCAAGTATTCAAACATATGAGTCTATGGGGCCATCCATTCTCACTCAAACCACCACAGTGCCCTAAAAGTTGTCTAATTAATACAGATCCCAGCCTGGCTTGGGATGCTACCGAGTGAAACTGCACTGCAGCTCTCAGGAGTCATACAGTGGGATACCATCATGGGCAGCTGCAATGAGGATAGGATGTAGGATGTGCAGGCCCAGAGGAACTGGGGTGATAGCCTGTGTGACTTTATTAACGTGTATGTTAAAGCATTATTTGTTTCTTCAGCTATTAAGTGTACATTATTTAAAAGGTATATATATATATATATAAAGAATTGTGGGAAGGGGACAAAAAATGTTTTCTTAACTGTGGTCCAATGCACAGAACAAAAGGCTTCACTGAATGTTACAGGCAATAAGCAGGCAAGGCAGCCAGTATTAGTTCCTTAAGTTTTCAGAGAGGGCAGAACCAGATATGACTCATTAAGTACTTTAACATGTGTGGAGTACATGACCAGCATAAGGAAACTCTGCTTGGAAAGTTCTAGGGGTGCTCTTGTGTAAGAGGCCATTAACTGGTTCACCCATGTTACTTAAGAAAGTAAGCCAAGCTGCAGAGATGGCTCAGTGGTTCAGAGCACTCACTGCTCTTCCAGGGGACCTGATTTTGATTCCTAGCACCTACATGGTGGTTCACAACCATTCTTGTAACTTCAGTACCAGGAATCTACTGCCATCTTCTGGCTTCTTTAGGCACTGCACACATGTGGTGCACAGGTACAGATGCAGGCAAACATCCATACATATAAAATAAATGAATTCTTAAAACCTGGGGTTTTTTGGGGGGCGGGGGGGATTGGTTTTTTTGAGACAGGATTTTACTGGATAGCCCTGGCTGTCCTGGAACTCACTCTGTAGACGAGGCTGTCCTAGCTCACAGAGATCTGCCTGCCTCTGCCTCCTAAGTGCCGGGATTAAAGGTGTCTGCCACTATCACCTGGTTAAAAAAAAAATTCAAGAAGGCCCCTTTGAAGAGCTGGATGGCCAGAACTCCTCAGAAGTTTCTGTAGGTGCCACAGTCAGTCATCCTGAACTCATCTCCAGCAGCCAGGCAAGGTGGCCTACTGGATATCCATCTGCGGGTAACCGCATCTCTTCCCTTCCCTCTGAGTCACTGTGTCATTCTACCTCTGCACTCAAATACTGCACACCTAAAAGGCAAGTGTATGCTACCCCAAAAGCACCCCACTGCTTCTGAGAAGTGCAACTCTGGTTAGAGAAGTACCAGGGGTAGCCTGCTGCCTCAGATCAACTTTAGATTGCTTTCTAACGTTGGTCTGTGCACACTATTTCTTCTTCTAGTAAAATAAGGATCCCATTTACTAGACAGGATTTGTCTAAAGACAAGCTGCCTACATTTCATAGAGACTGACTTTATTACTCTTAGGCTACAGAAATATGAGCAACATTTTTTATCAAGGCTGTGTCCCATCAGGAAAGTGATAATTACATCCTGAGTAAATTTGTGGGTGCTTGAACACTCTCCCTCCTATGACCCAGTAATCCTGAAATTCTCCTGATCACTTCTTTTTAACATGGGAAAAATTCCTAGGAAGCCCCTCTGTCTCTGTGACTGGAGGAGGAGACAAGCCCTTCCCAGAATGGCATGTCTCATGACAGCAGGAAAGATGAGAAACTAGTCAATGCATAGCTTCAACTCCAGGGCATATAACAAAATCAACTGAGGACAGGAGCCTGTAGTTGTAAGACACCCTTTTAAGTAAGGAGTTGTTCCTTTCCACCATTTAATAATACATTTTTCTTTTAATAAAAAGTGCAGAGATGGGTACTGGGTGAACAGCCAATGCTGACTCAGGCAGAGGCTAACAGGATAGGAAAGGCTTCTTCCCTTAGGTCTCTAACACATCTGAAAAGTAAATCACACTACCAGAGGCAGAGGAGGCACGAGTCTGGAATTATCTCCACCTTGAGCATCTAATACCAATAGAGCTTACAGTGGGACAATAGGTCTCTGCGACTGAGAAAGGGGACAGAGCACAAACAAGGACATGGAGTACCAGTTCCAGTTGCTGGTCTCTGCAACAACAGAACGAATCTTTCTTTTATACATCTGAAGCTAAGCTACTGGCTTTAAAACCACTAGGGATTTGGCTTTATCACCTATAAAATTATATTAATAGTACAGAAGTTTTCATCTACAATGCTCTTTATTAACACAAAACCACAGGGACAGCAGGAGACATACGTCTCACTTTATGTCTAGGAGAACCCAAGCCTCTGGAGAGCCATCAACCAGTGGTCTTGAGAAAAAAGGTAGCAGGGAAGGTTCACATCAAGGGGAGAGAGAGGGTGTGGTGGACATTCTTCTCTAAGTGGCGTCACTCTCTGTCAAATGCAGTAACAATGAGGGAGAGGAGCTGGGTACCTTGGGGAGGAGAATAGTCATCTGAGTCTGTGTCACTTTCACTGCTGTCCTCCACCAGGAAGATGGGGTAATTCCACGACATGCTGAGGATGCCATCAGATTCGTGCAAGAGGACATGGGCCAGCATTCTGCCGTGGCAGTCCATGACAATCACCTGTCCATCTGCTGTGCCAAACAATACCTACAAACAAAGATCAGGGCCCTTTAACAAGCAGGCATAAATTTCAGTCTCGATTTATTTTAGAAAGACAAAATACATTCACATCTGAAAAGATAAACCAATTAAAACTGAGGGTGACAGGACAATACCTTAAATCTCTTCTGCTGCTGCGATAACACGTCCTACAGAAGCAACATCAAGCGGTCTGTTTTGTGTCTAAGTCCCAAGGTAACAACAGTCCCCATAAAGAGGAAGTCACAGTGGCTGGAGCTTGAGGAGCAACCCATTGTTTCCCCAGTCAGGGACAGAAAGGAGAGAAATATCCACGCACACGCGTGGTCAGCTCACTTCCCCCATTTACACAGTCCAGGATTACAACCAAGAGAGGCACAAACCACAGAGAGTGCATCTTCCTACCTCAGTTAAGATAGCCCTCAGTAGCATGCTCAGACGCTCAGTTCCCAGGCGACTTTAACCCTCTCTTTATCAAGCCGACAACTACACTAAGCATCACAGCCACACTGTCAAGAATCTTAGACCTCTTAGACTGCAATGTGAGACTAGCAGCATAATGACTACATTATGCTATTCAGACACGTCAAATACCAGAAAAACCTGCTTTACTGCTTTTGTTTCTTTTGTCTTCTGGCTAAAAGACAGGGGCTAAGAAAAGATAATTCACTATTTTTGAAAATTAAGATGCAGCAGAAATTCATTATTAGAGTTCTAATTTAGAGAAAACGTTTATGTCTGACTGAAAAGAAAATATGTTTGGTCACATAAGCACATGTTTACGTGATGCTCCTAAAATAACTTTTCAATTAAAAATTTTAGGTGATTTATAGAATAATGGGTTTCATTAATATATTCTCATACAAGTGTATTTTTCCTGAAAATGTTTTTAATTTCCATGTTTAGAATTTTTTTACACGATAGTTATATTAGTGATGATTATATTAATCATCAATGCAATGACACACGGATGATATTAACATGTTCACTGAATGCTTAATCCCGATGCTAAGAATAATGTCAAACATGTCATCACAGTGACAGAATTCTGGTTCATGCTGAAATGGACCCCAGAGGAGCCTGACACCTCAGTACACTTAGGGTACTACTGAAGAGTTTTCTTTGATCCCCCATGGATGTAGGCAGGTACACATAAGAGCTAGCAAACTCGGGAAGATTCTGTAGGTATCAGCTCTGCACTGAGAGCAGCATGAGCCCCCCAGCCCTTAGAGTAGCTCTAAGGCATGTTGGACATTAGTGTGTCACCAGCTAGCATGTGTGTGTCCCAGAAAGCATGATGAACACTACCACTGACTTTGTGTTAGTCTCTAGAGATCTTGCATCTGACAGTATTATAAATTTCATATTTTTGTGCTCAACATCCACTTCTCACTGTGACAAGCACGCCAATCATCATCTGTATTTCACAGACACAAACAGCTTGGGAGAAATCATGCAACCTGATAAAATGGTCAAACCAGGACTATCTGACTGCAAGGACTAGAATTCGCACTCAGAGCCTAATTAGAGCTTTTTCATCCTGGCATCTTTTTGCTCTTGAGATTTAGATGACATGCACCTCTGCAGCCGACTCTGCAGCTATATCCTTGGCATCTCAAAGAGCCCGGGTACACAGTGGGCTCTTGGTGAATATTTTTTTTTTTATGAAACAAATGAATTAAAGTCAAGAACATGGGCATTTTTTTTTTTTTGAGACAGAGTTTCATTGTACAGTCTTGGCTGTTCTAGAACTAGCTCTGTAGACCAAGTTAGCCTTGAACTCACAGAGATCCACCTTCCTTTTCCTCCCAAGTGTTGGGATTAAAGGCATGTACCACCACCCAGCCAATTGAAGACATACTGGTAATTGATTAATTACAATGGAAGAAACATTTCCCTAGAGAAGCAATAAGCTTTTGGAATTTGTATGGGTGTTTTAGAATAAACCAATCACTCATTAAATATTCTATTTTGCTATTGTTTTTCAGACAGGGTCTATGCGCTCAAGCTAGATTCAAACTTGTAAGCCTGTTGCCTCATCTTTCTGGAGTTTTAAAACAGGCATGGACCACCATGCCAAATTCCTTTAAACATTATCTATAATGAAAAAATTTCCCCCAAGAAATTTATCAGTGCGTGTAGATTAAAGTTAAATACAGACAAAACTATTAGGAACGGAGAATCTTGGGTGATGACAGAAAACTCAGTATCTGATGGCATGTATATAGGACATTCAAGCAACATGGATACAAAGATGGGAGGCAAGAACACAGCTCAGAATTGCTGAATTATACACTAAAACAAGCAGGTATTTAATGTACATAATGAACAGTTTGCAACAAAAGGCACAGAACATGTTGTCTTACACTTTCAACTGAGGTGCACACATTTCCAAAGGAAAAAGGCATGAAGGTCCAAGCAATGCTAATGCTATGGACAGTGTCTGTGGAGCACATTTCTCTTTCACCCCAATTCTCACGTGCCTTCATGTCAAGTGAAAGGACATTTGGACACATATGACTTTATTGATGAAAACAACTCGCTAGTAAAAGACAGAAATTCTTCAAAAGTACTCAGGGCTAAAGTATATCAATCCTGAAGAAACCCAAGCACCTGACTGCCTGTGGGTTCTCCTATGACCTTGGAATGTTCACTGTCTTTGCCACATGACTATATGTCTAGCCCCCTTCTGAGAACATGGATGGCAACAGACTCATTGTTTACATATCTGCCAAATCCTTATGCTAATAGCAATTTGTGATGAGGCCTACGGGGGGCGGGGTTAGATCTAGATAAAGTCCCAAGAATGGGGACTTTATGGTCGGATTGGTACCCTTCTAGGAGGAAAAGATATAAGTTGTATTTTCTTCCTCTCTACCTTCAAGCATCAAAGAGGCGATGTGAGCACCTGGGGTCAGTTGTCTTCAAGCTGAAAGGAATCCTCACTAGTAATCAAACTGACTGACGCCTTTACCTTGACCTTCTCAGCCTCCTGGAATATGAGAAACTGATGTCTGTTTTCACCAACCGGTTCACAGTACTGTGTTGTGGGAGCCTGAGCTGACATCTGAAGGATGGGAGCTTTGTGTATCAGCATGCATCTCCCCACGACCTGTTGTTGTGCACGGAGCTCAGCAGGGTCTGCGAAGGGCAGGGCACGCCTCTGCATTTAGTGACACTAAGTTTCTGTTCCAGAGAGTGAACAGAGAGCCAGCTGGGAGAACAGACATACAAGTCTTTAAGATAAAGGACTGGCAATTTAATGAGTGCCTGCTATTCAAGAGCCACACCAAAGCAAAAGAGAACAGAAGAAAGAGCAGCTCCAAGAGCCCTCTGTGAATTCATTCCAACTATGGCTCCTGCAGGAAGACACTCCACTGAGATGGGCTGAAGGGGGAAGAAATCCTCTCAGTCTAGCTTAGAAAGCAACTCTTTTGGAACAAGTATGTCACAGATAAAAGAAGAACACTAATACAGCATTAAGTCAGATTTGACAAACAAAAATCTCCATTACAGGTTCTTTTCACACCTTAACACTTCTAATGAGAAGAAGTTCACGTGAGGAAAGGTCTTCAGGAGAACACGACAGTGTAATAATGAACACAGGTGCGAGCAAACATCAGTCTCTGGCCACAGTCCTAACCAAAGGAGTACAGCTGAGGCAAACTGGTGCCAGCCCCTTCTAATCTCCTCCTCATCTTGCTGTTCAAGGTTAGTCCTAACTCTTTTCTCTACAACCACACCAACAGTGCCTCAACTATAGTCAATCCCTTCCTAAGTCTCTCCTAGGCCCTGGAATCACGTATCCAACTGCCCGCCTGCTATATTCCCCCGGAAGTGTCAAAAGCCCTTCCATGTCAGCATGTCCAGGGAGAAATGCATGCTCTTGTTTTCACCTAGAGCAAACACACAGACCTTCTTCCTGCCAGGAGAGACTGTGGCTTTGTTTAGGCTCCAGTGCCCAGCATCTGTCTAGTACCCAACAGGAGCTCATTGCCTCATACAGGCCTTCGGGGGCTCTCCACACAGAAGTGATCTTACACTAACCACAGCTGCGTTCTGGTTTTGGGTCAGTCTCTATCATACCTCTCGAAGGCATGTCTGTATCCTGAGATGTCAAATAGTTCTGTGAAGAATTATCAGTGACTATTATAAATAGATTTCTGTAAAAAAAAAAAATCACTGGCTTTTGGCCAAATTTTTCTACCAAGCAAATTTTGACTTTTTTTTCCTTTAGATTAAAACCCAATATTCACATCCTCCTTAAAGACTGTCCTCCCATTTTCTTCCTACTATTTCTTCTGGTGGCTCCTATGCTTCAGGTGAGAGTAGGCATGAGGCTCGATAAGGTTATGCCACAATTTTATCAGCAGACATTTTATGGCCTGAGGCTGGGGGAAACCTTAGCACTGTGGCAGACCTCAACAGGCAGCTGAGGGCCAGAATGAAAGGACAACCCTCCTTTGCTTCAGAGGGAACCTCAGCTTTGATGCATAACTCACACCAAACTTCCCTCTCAAAGACCTCCCTGGTACATCTTAGAACAGTGGCCTCAAAGGAGTTTCAAGGCTAGTCCTAGACATTAAGTAACTAAAGAATCAGGTTCTAAAATGGGGAGCTGGAAATAAAAGAACTGATCACCTGAAGATTATTTCCCGTTCCATTTTGAAAAGACATGAAATGAAGTTTCATAGTTGAGTGCAACCATCACTTATAAATCTGTTTCTTGGGGTTAAACATATAATTCTGTAATTCTGAGGATGACTCATCTCCTTACTGCAGAAAAGAGCACCTCTAAACTAGCTTAGACAACTATGAGGAGAAGCCCCTTGCTGCCAGCGATGTGGGATTCCCCTCTGTATACTGTGAATACGTTTTATTACCATTGGGTAATAAAGAAGCTGCTTTGGCCTATGGCAGGGCGGAGTAGAGCAAGGCAGAAAATCCAAGCAGAGAGAGAGGAAAGGTGGTGGTGTCAGGGAGACACTATGTAGCTGCTAAAGGAGAAA